GTATTATGTGTTTCTTTTAATGTTGTACGCCGCCCTGAGTCCTTGGGAGAAGGGCGGCATATAAATCGAATAAACCTAAACCTTTTTCATTAGCTTATTTAGTTACTATAAAGATACATTAATATATCCCAGGTTGAAATCTTATATAATCTAATTATGCTCATACCCAATGCTGTTAACTAAATGTTTATATACTATTTCAGGTTAATATATCTCAGGCTGACATGCAGGCCATTGGAAATACTATCACTATGGTAACACAAGATGGCACTACCATCACAGTCCCTGCACATGATGCAGTTATTTCTTCTGCAGGAACACATTCTGTTGCAATGGTCACCGCGGAAGGCACGGAAGGACAACAGGTAAATTACTTCTAAATATATAAGTGAAAACAAACAATTGAGGCTTTCTAAATAAATGTATTGACAACAGATTTTCTAGCCATTAGAATGGCATTTGATTTAATTAGATTGATTAATTAATAGAGCCACCTTACTGGGTGGGGTAAATAATAACAGTAATAACCAATAAAACCACATAATAAAGCATAGTTCAAAACAATATACATGTGTGGGGGGGAGACTCGGCATAAGATTTTTTAAATATATATTTTTATTGCTTTAAGAGTAATAATAGAAAAATAAAAATGAAAGGAACAAAACTACATTGTCAAAAATATATAGCAATTGTCTAAAAATAAGAAGAAAATACAACAGAAAAAATAAAATTACAGAGGATATTTTAGGTAAATATATATAGGCTTGTTATTGTTTACTATTATAACAATAAAAAGCTTAACAATATTACAGGATTTATAATATAGTTCTAGCCAAACTAGTTAGGCCTAGAATAATACATGCAATAGGAAGTGAATTAAAAAAGAACTCAGTGCAACAGAAGTCCTTTTTTTAACTGTTCTATGTATTAATTTATTTTGGTACTATCATTCAACTTTGTAAATTGTTTAAAATCAGATCGAAGCTGCATGGAATTGTTAGTAATAAATAAATCAACATACTTTGTAACTGCCACTTATCTCTGTGCCCAAATACCAGAAGGAAGAATTATTTATAGTTTAATGTATAATATATCTTAGCATATTGTATAAATTATTTTACTGATTTGTTTACCCTTTGCAAATATTCATTCTCTTTACTATTGTTTCTAGAATATGTATTATTCATATATATCTCTTTATGTCCTAGTATATTATTTTTAAAATAGTAAGACTGATCATCAGTAACTTTAAAAACTTAAAATAATTAATTATTTTTAGATTTCAGTATTTAGAATGTTTTTTTCCGTGTGCTTTTTATTAAGGTTGCCATTGTGGCTCAGGATTTAGCAGCTTTTCATAGTGCTTCACCAGAAATTGGACATCAGCAACATGGACATCATTTAGTCAGTGCAGAATCTAGACCTGTTACTTTGCTGGCAACATCCAATGGAACACAAATAGCAGTGCAGGTAATTTTGATACATAATATACATTGGAAATGTTTTATTAATAATATATGGATTGAATCTAGGGTAGAATTTCACAAACTGGAGAATCTGCAGACCTAGAAAGACAACAGACAAATTATATCTCTTGGCATCCTTTTATGCGCTCCACAATCTGCTTCTGGAGATTGGTTAATTTTTTTGGAACACCACAGGAAATAATTTTGAGATCTTTAGAGAAGAGGGCATCAGTGATCACTAATTTCTCTTCTACTTTTTTTCTTCTACAAATCCCGCATTAGCAAAGAATGCCAGTTGTGTGACCTTGGGCCAATCATTCTCAGTCCAATCCCTTCTCAGGGTGGTTGTTGTAAGGAAAAAGAGGAGGAAGAAGGAGTATTACCATATTTTTCGTACTATAAGTCTCTCCGGATCACAAAATGCACCTAGCTTTTGGGGAGGGAGAAAAAATCTGCCTCCCAGCAATTTGCCTTCTTACAGCAAGCAGCCTGGTCAGATTCAGCACATCCTGATTTAGTAAGAGAAGTTGATTGGCGATTGGATCGGCCTCCCGGAATACCGCCGATCAGCCGTTCCAGCCTGCGGGAATCATCGTCGCCTGTGCAAACTCCATTTTCGGTCTCCATGCGTCCTGTTTTTGGCCCATTCCAGGTGGCAGGGATTCCTATCGCCTGGAACGGGCTAAAAACAGTACGTGCTGATGCCGAAAATGGGGTATGCAGAGGCGGCGATAGGTGACAGTGATGGACAGTGGCGATACCCGCAGCCAGGAACAGCTGATTGGTGGTATTCCTGGAGGCCGATACAACGCCAATCAACTGCTCATGCTAAATCAGGCTGTGCTGAAGCTGACCATGCTATTTGCTGCATGTAGGCAAATTGCTGGGAGGCAGAGGTCGAAGGGTGGGGGCCGGCAGGTGGCCGGGGATTCAGCAACATTCACTCCATAAGACACACAAACATTTCCACTTTTCTTTCTTTTTTTGGGGGGGGGGGGAGAAGTGCATCTTATAGACCAAAAATACGGTAGGTATATTCACTGCCTTGAGTTATTTGTAAAAATAATAAAGGTGGGATACAAATAAATATAAACATAACCCAGTAACCTTCATTGGATCCAATAATATGCTTTAATTTTGTAGAACAACAGATCTGGGTCTTCTTAAATGTATGTACAACTGATTTTAAAGTAAAAATATTTTTTTGAAATATGCTATAAATTGCTTTTTTCAATACAAGTACCTCAAAGAAGTTTCAAAAAGAAATCACTTGAAATTGTGTATGTGAGCTCAAAAAACCCAATGACAATCTATTACTATTATACATACATAAGTAATATTGGTACACATTTAAACACTTAAGAAAAATATTCTTAAACACTTTTACAATGTTTATTTTAATCTATTTTTTTGTTTGTTTCAGCTTGGAGAACAACAGTCTTTGGAAGAAGCAATTCGAATAGCTTCCAGAATACAACAAGGTGAAACACCAGAAATTGATGATTAATTCATAACTTGGCTAAAGGAACTATAGAATTCTATTTTATTTTTGTTCAACAAAAGTCTATGCCAGGTGAAAATCATAAAATGTTTTTCCTCCACTAATACTGTGCATATACTTTACGCAACAGTGAAGAACATTTAAAGTGTATAATGTTTATGTATAAGAACTTTGGGAATACCGAATTCCATCTCTTAAGATTCATTATTCTCTACCCAGGACAAAGAATTAGGTTTTGTATTAAATTTACTTGCTTATATTCCAAACCAAACTAAAGACAAGCAACAGTCACAGAAGAAATGCTGGAATTAATTTTAAAGTCATACAAAATCAACGAAGGCATTATTGAAGATTTCAACTCTTTAAATCATAACAGCAATCATCATTCAAAAATCCTTTGGAAGCACGAATTTAATTGTTTCTTATATGCAGTTTTGAATTTTGAAACCTTTGTAAATATTCCATTTTAATTGTGGTTCATACACGTTGAACATTTATCATTTTTTGTTTCCTCTGCCGTCTCACTGATTGTAAATACAAACAATTGCCAGAATTGCTATTATATTGTCTTTGAATTGGATTATGTATAAAATGAAAACTTTGGTTGTTCAATATTAAAGGAATTAAAACTGGTGTTTCTACTTACTAGCCTACCATCATGTTATATATGAGAGACAATTTTTCTTTATCTTTGTTCAGTCATTTGGAGTACATATAAACTCTAAGTAAAAGTAAGAAAAATGGGATGATATTGCTTATGCTGTGACCCCTCTATTATATTCATACTTTGTGTAACATGAGTGACTGCGAGCATCAGATATCTTTACTCTTATGCATGTGATTTAAAAACTTCATTTTCTAGGATCTAAATCAATGGCCTTCAATCTTTTGGGCACCAGGGACCGGTTCTGTGGAGAGAGGTTTTTCCACGGACCAGAGGGGGTATGGTTTCATGTGTTGCTTGCATGCTGTGGTTGGGGCTTTGCGGACCGGTTTCTGGCATGCCCCCAGACCGGTGCGGGTCCAGCGACGGGGGGTTGGGGACCCCTGATATAAATTATACAGAAAGAGGCACTTTGCAACAGTCACTTTTCTTCTTTATAGAGTAACAAAGAGTAAAGCAAGTGTTCTTATTTCTACTTTATTTCATTGGATATCTGCTTGAGAGCAACTAGAGAGAACTAAAAGGTAGATTCTTATATAACAAATTGACACAATACAGCCACAAGAGAGGAAGCATCGGCAGGTTTACAGGAAGGTTTACAGAAGTACAAAAAAGAAATTGTGAAAGGGGAAAAAAGGAAATCCCTAGTGATTGTGAATGCTCACTGGGACAGTAATACATTATAACAAATATATTTAAAAAGGTATAGTGGCTAACTGAAACACTAAACTGGAATATCCCACTCTAACATTTTGCTGTTCTCCCCATATATTTAACTTGAAATCAACATCTTGAATTAGGATAAGAGACTGGTTAGCTAGTTTGAATGGGATTAGTTAAGTATCAAGTAACCTACATTTCTCTCATCACAATCTTACTCAACTTACAGGAAAATATATAAAAATTATTTAAAACATTCTATTTTTTTTCATAAGCAGGATGTCCAAAGACAGGTCTTTCCACTTTTTCTGTTGCGATGTGTAGACATTTAAAAGTCAATTGTTATCAGATACATCAAGACTACATATATTAAGGCTTAAACTTGTAAAGGAGAATTTACTTCATTAGGCACCTATGTTTGGATATTACGGGGTAGGGCGGAAATGGGCAAAAAAAATTAAAACTGAAAATTTCAGATAGTTTTTACTAAGCAACCATCCTGGACAGCAACTATTTGCAGTTACAGCAATACTGGAAAAGTAACCATATGACCAATGCCTGCATTTATAACTTCTGTAGTATCTCTGTTATGTGTTTGCAATTACACTCTATTAATACATGTCCTATATAAAAACTCTGTTGCTATCACATATTTTTCACTGACCATTTTAATGACCACGTTTGCCAGTCACAATTACAGTCAGTAAATGAGGGCTACCACTACGAACAGTTCCCAAATTAAATGTAAACCTTAATCCAAAATGGAAATGGAGCAGTATACAACAATTGTTGTAGCAAGACAGACATCTCTAACAGATATACCTGATTCAAAATCCTCTGCAAATGTACTATTATGTAATTTGGGAGCTCTGGTGCCCTGCCAATGGTGTCACTATAGCAACTATGAAAACAAACGGGGGAGCAAGTTAACAAACACCTAGCTGAACTTGATGCAGTTGCAGGAGCCCTCTGCCACTGTAAATCAAAGCAGTAGAAAATGTTGGCCACTATTTTTTTTTAATAATGTATCTGATAGTTTCTTAGACCTTTTTATTGATGTTCTTTATCAATTAATACATTTAAAGGTATTGGGATTAAATGAGCAAGAAAAATAAAATTTGAGCCTAATATTTAATGTTTAAAACAATAATTGTTTGACCTGGCACAGAAATTGTATCTTAACCACCTCTTACAGTTGATGTTTTCTAATCACATGAAAGAATGAGCCATTATTCCCATAATTGGGTTTTGACTTTATAATTTATCTGGGAGAAGGTGCAGTGTTTTTTTTAAGGAATTTATCTTAGAAAGATTATAGCTGCATGATTCTTAAAATATTTAATATAATCTAAGATTTTTAAAGCAACTTCATTGTTTTTCAATATTTTTATTAAAAAACTATTATTCGTTTATCTGGGGAAAAAGTACCAAACATGCAATTTATATTGCTTATTTTTAAATGGAATGTCTGTTTTGCTGATACAAAAGACTACAAAACAATTGATTGTAGAGATAGCAAAACATAAAGAATAACTAGGGAAAATAAAAATTTATACATTAAGTAATATAAACATTTTGACCGCATTTGATAGATAACTGATTTAAGCCCTACCTTGTAATTGGAATAGTAAAATAATATCCTTATTTATAACTCTTTGTCACTTAGCTGGTATATTACACAGTAATACATGAGACTGGGCATAATACTCACATCACAATCATGTATAAATCACATGTAATATGATCATACACAAATATACATTACAAAATGTTATACACAACAATTGCAACAGAATGACATTGAATATGGTCAGCTGCCTCTCTGCAAATACACTATAATAATTAACATCTTTCAATCTGGAAAAATATGTAAGGAAAATATGTAAATAGAGCTAAAAATATTTGATCTTTGTAGTTCATTATATATTGCTGGGATACAATATTTTGAGTTGAAATGTTCAGAGTAATGGAACAATACTAATTGCTTGGAAAAGTTACTGAACAAGTTTACCAACATAAAGAGATCAAACTTTTTTGAACTTTTCTAAAGGATGGGTAGGACATAGATGTTACCTTACACAATCTAGTATACATAGTCCATCAGACAAGAATTGTTTATTTTGACCAGTGCCTGCTCCCTAGGTTTGTGGCACAAAAATTATCTACTATCTACTACCTGAGTGTTTCATTAAGCTAATGCCAAAGATTAAAGCACATGCAGATAAATGCAGGTATTACTGCATGTGGCTTTCTTTTGAAAAGGTTCTTCTGAATTAAGTAGTATCAGGGATTAAGATTACTGTAGAATTAATCCTGATTATGCTACAAAGACAGAAATAAACTGCAGCTCTGGCAGCAAAATACGGAATAAGAGGCAGAAGAGAATCTAAAATTATTCCGAAGATCTCAAAATGAGCTCCATAAGATTGGAAGGGAGAGACAGGCATAGCAACTCTTACTTGGGGCCAATGAATAAACAAAACTGACTTTAGCACTACAACTTTGTTTTCTGAAAACATGGGTGTTGCTCTTGTTTTTTTCTGACAGTGACTAATTAATAAATCTTATCCATGTGTGTTTTAATGGAATCTTTATCCACAGTACTAAAATCTTCAAGGTCTATATACAGTTTCTATAGGTAGGTATTCAGTTCAATTCAGAATGAGAACTGCATGTTAAAGATGACACTTCTGGCCTTCACTGCCTTTAAAACCAGCACAGTACTCCTGTACAGACTTTATCAATATTTACTTTGTAAGGTTATTGCTGCTAAATTTGCACATAGCCCACCCACAGGGGTAGCCATTAAATTTTAACCAAAAAAAATGCTTAATTGTACAGCTCCTTAAAAAAAAAAGCAAAGGCTATGACCTCTTTAGGAAAAATAAACCACAATAAAATTCTATATTATTAATGATTGAAATGAATCTTGTGCTTTGGCTTATGAGTGGTACAGCCAGAAGATAACCTTTTCACCCTCAATTTGTTTTGGACAATTGCTGTACCTCCAAAGTATGTGTGCTCGTGCTTGCATGTGTGTGTTTGGTTTATTATTATTTTATTTTGCCTACATGAGGGAGTTATACATGGAGAGGAAATTCCCTTCCCTGATTTCAATTCCACTAGCAGGTTATTTTTTTCCTTTGTGTAGAGTAGACAGAAGCATACTTTTGGGCTTCATCTTTGATTGTCATGCAAGTGTTTTTGTTCAGGAGGAAATCCATTCTATTTGATGGGAATTATTTTTTTAATAAATAGAGATGTCACACTGTTACACTGTGCTTATACTTAACTACTAACTCTGCTGAATTCAGTCAGACTTGTTCTCACTTAAATATGTACGGTATATAAGATTGCAAGATTAACATGTATTTATTTTTTTGAGATTGAAATATAGTAATTTTATACAAAATCCCCTATAATTTGTTATTATTGCAGATAGACCATAAAAAAATAAACTAGTCATACAACAATAAGCATACATTAAAAAAACTAGGTGTAAGTTAATTTTCAGCAGATCTATGCACACAGTAGCCTATACATTTAACATGTTGATTTAATTTATGATATATGCTTGGGCCAAATTTTCAAACAAATCTCATGTGATTTTGCCTGCATATATAATAAATTTAAAAATGAATAGAATTGTCAGGTTCTACATTCCATTAACCTATAGAAATGATTATCAGTTACTAGTGCTATAAAACATGTCTCTTCACTAAATTCCATCAGAAAGCCATCTGGCATTCAATAATATTGGGTATTTCTGACCAAGCTACACCAAGCAGAAGAAGTTAACCAACAAGAACAGTTTCAAATCATACTGTACATATCATAGAATGTGCACCTGTAATACGTAGCATGGAACAGCCTGTAAGTTTTCTGATGTAGTTCAAAAGTTGTCCAGTAGACTCTAAATTTCTGCCTGGAATTAAAGGATTAAAAAAACTCCAGTGGTCTTAGGCTGTGGCAATCATACCATATATGCAACACGCAGCATGCATCTTAGTAAAGTTGCATTGATTTCCTGTTGCTCTCTAAGCCAAATCCAAGCAGTTGTTTTAATATAAAAATCCTTTATAGCTTCTCTGTTATACTACCAAAGAAGTTTAATTTGCCTTCTGCAAGGGTACCTGAAAGGCAACTAGAAATAACTAGAGATACGGCCTTTTCAGTGGCAGGAAGTGGCCACTGTGCAATTCACTCCTATGAGGGATATAATCATCAGCTTTATTTGATGAGGAATTTAAAATCTGGGAAGAACTTAATGTATATGAAAACCAACAACAGTAAAAGTTCATTAGGCAGCTCATCCACCTCC